AGGCAACAAACCAAAAAAAGAAAAACTATCTAGGCAACCGACCAATCTAGTTGAATTATTCCACATTTTTTTTTGATTGGTATGCAGCACATCATCATCATCATGCCAACCAAATGTTTAAAAAGAATCTTTGAAAACAGAGAGAAAAACTGAAAAAACAAAAACAAAAACAAAGAAAGGAAAACTCAAATTGACAGCTCGGATATTTATTTTAGATATTTTTTTTCATATGGAAAAAGTTTCTTTTCTTTTACTTCCACCACCAGTGTAATTAGTACAAATCTTTATGGTGGTGATGATGCACACTTATTATTATTATTTTGAATTTTGAAAATGAATTTTTCTCTTTCTCTCTCTCTCTTGTCGTGTTGTTGTTGTTGTTGTTGTTGTTGTTCATTGATTCATTCAGATTCCAAAGAATATTAATAATATTAATAATAACAATGTGAAAATAAAGAATGCACGTGGTCTCATCATCATCATCATCATCATAGTCATGATCTGTGAATAGCATCATTCAATGTTTTTTCATTTTTTTCTATTTCTGTTGTTCAGTTCAGTTTGGATGTTTGGCTGAAAATTTGACAAGCAGCTGATGATGATGATGATAATAATGTCGAAAATGGTTTTTTGTTCGTTGTTCGTTGTTCAAATGAATAAAACGAGATGATATGATAATGTGTGTGTGTGTGTGTGTGTGTATGGGTATATGCACAGAGATCTGGTGTTTTATTTTTATTTTCATTCATTCATTCATTTGACAGGCAAGCAAGACATGTCAAAAGTGATATCTTCCAGAAAGAAAAGCTAGAGAGAGAGAGAATGTAATTTTGTATAATTTTTGCTGTTGTTATTATTGTGCGAGGAGTGGTGGTATCATTTTTTTTTCCCGAAATGAAAAAGTTTCAGCCAAAAAAAATTCATTCATTGAATGAATGAATGGATTCAATGACTGAACGAATCGAATTGATGAAATGAACATTCAATTTTAATTCTGTAGTCATCATCATCATTGTCCCTCTCAATGGCCATAATCAAGCTACTCTCCACACAACTAACCACTTAACATTAATTTTCTCTCATTCTCTCTCGATATTGGTCGTTTGTTTGGTTGTTCAGTTTTACTTACTTACATTAGTTAGTTACTTTGAATAACAACGATATTAATTGATTGAACCAGATAGGAATATATATTTGGTTTGTATCCTGGCTCATGGCATCTATTCTTGTTTTTGTTTTTGTTTTTGCTGCAAACATTTCTTTAATTAAAATGAAAATGACTTTCTCTCTCTCTCTCTCTCTCTCTCTCAATGACATAACATCCCCATTCTTCTTTGTTTTGTTTTTGTTGTTTTTTGATTTTCGATTTTCGATTCAATCAATGAATGGAGATGATATCAATTCCATTTCATTTCACTTAGTTCAATAAGGATTGATCATCAATAGATGATGATTCAGTTGCACAGATGATGTTCAATATTCTTTTCCATACTGTCTGCGTGCGTGTTAAATGAATTGAAAATTATAAAGTTAAGACAAAACTTGGTTTAAAAATTTTCAAAATTTTTTCAAAATTTGAATCATCTTCGTTCGCATAATTAGATCAGAGTGAAAAGAAGAAAGAGAACATCACATTGTTATTTTCAAATAACCGTAACGGTTTGAAAATGAACTTAAATTCTGAACTTTGTTTCTAAAGTTCAGAATTTTTGAACAAAAAAAAGAAAAAGAAATTCTGCTGAACTAAACAAACCGAACCGTATACGCAAATGGTTCGCTTGGCTGAACAAATTTTTCATTTTCTTGATTCTTTTGGGGAAAAATTTCCAAAGAAACTTTTTTTTTCTTTCCAAAATTTAATTCCAGAAAACTGTAAATGAAAAAAAAATGAAATAATTCAATTTTTTGGTCTGATTCATTTTTATGATTATTATGATTGTTGTTGTTGTTGTTGTTGTCCGAGAAAATGTTGTTTCCGATTTTTTTTTCATTTCATTCATTCATTTCATTCCCGGACATTGGGCACATGTTTATTTGCTTGTTGTTGTTGTTGTTTTTGCTTGTTGTTGTTGTTTTTTTTCCATATACTACATTTCATTCATCAATTCAAATCCAATTTGCTTGTTATAAGGCTTTAGTCATCATCATCGTTGTTGTTGTTGACATGTCATATGTATGTTATTGATATCCTGTTGTTGTTGTTGTCGGATAAAAAAAAATGTTGTTTCATTTTTACATTCGTTTTCACATTTGATGATGATGATCATTTGTTGTATCAATGACGAAAAAGAAGGAAAAAACATTAAGGTTGTGTGTATTTTCCTCGTGTTTTGATCTTTCGATGTTGTATCGATATCTATCCTATCCGATATCGATAATATCGATGTTTCTGTGTGTCATGACATGTTATATGACATGTTTTTTACGTTTTTTACGTTTACTGTTTTATGTTCGTTCCCTGTACACACTATATTTCCCGAAATCCTAAAATCAACAAAGTCAAAAATCAAAAATCAAAAAAACAAAATCAGGCAGGGTTCGTTCATTTATTCACAAAATGAATGAGTGATGTTCTTTTTTGCTTGCACCCAGTTCACTTTTCAATCAATCGAATTAAATTCAAAAGATCATTTCCGAAACATTTCTTTTTTCCCCCCTTTTGGTTTTTTCTTGATTTAAAAGGGTTACATGTTTTTTTTTCGTTTGTCTGATTCATTCAACCATAATGATAGACGAATGAATGTCCAGATGAACCAACCCAACAAAAAAAAAACTTATTCTTTTTTTAAACCAAACATTCAAAAAACTGTCAACTTGCTATAGTTTTTTGTAATGTGTGTGTGTGGGTGCTTCTCTCCTCGTAATATTCCTTATAGAAACTCTGTGTATGTGTGTGTATGGGGGGAGAATAACCATCCATCCATCCAACGATATTCGGACCAACAAAAAACGATGAAAAAAAAATATAAAAAATATTTGGCGAGAATGAAAGAGAGGCACCAACAGCAACAACAACACACGTCACTGACATTGAGAGAATTTCTTTTTTCGTTCATTTTTGCTCGTTCGTTTAGTTCGGGCGACCAACCAACCAACCAAAAATTGAATGCAAAAAAAAAAAATTGTCCTCTCCTTTACCATCCATCCATCCATCCATCCATCTATGGATGTTGTTGGTGGTGTTATTCTCCTTGTTTTTTGCTTGCTTTCAATGTCCGTTTTCGTCGAAAACATTGTGTGTGTGTGTATGGTGTGTCATGGAATTGAATTGAATCGAATTGTGAATTGTGAATTGCGAAATGAACGATCAGCGCGTGCTTTTTCAAGCGTTCACTATTTTTTCAAACCATCGTTTTCAATTTATTTTCATCTAAACACACAGCACAGTACACAAGTTTCGTTCAAAAAAATTTTCCTTTCTGGAACCCAAAAAAAACGATGGAAAAAAATGAAGCATACACACCATACACCAATGATGATGCTGATGGCCTGATATGGTTGTATAATATATGAGCTGTCATTATTATTATCGTCGTCGTCGTTGTTGTTCATTCATTTCATTTTCTTTTTTTTCATTCTTTTCAATGGTTCTCATTGTGTGTATGCATTTTTGGTTATTTTTCGACAATTTTTTTTTATAGGTTCGAAAAATAATGTACACTTTTTTTCGTTGGTTTGGTTTTTTTCAAACCAAACCAAAATTTTATATATAACTTTTTTTCTGGTTTGTATAGAACTGGATCGGATACACATAGAAAATATATAGAGCAAACGGCGGATATTATACACTGTTATGCAAGAAATATGTGGACATTTAATAATAGTGGATCCTCATTGAATGTTTGCTGTTGTAGATTACTGGTGATCCATAGCTAGCAGTAAAAAATTCATCTTTTTTCTTAATAAAGAAAATAGTTTCTGGTATGGCAAAGGGTAGTGGTTCTTTCTTATTGATTTTTGGTTTCCAAAACCAAAAAAAAAACTCTTTACACATCAACGGTTCATCGTAAGAATAATCAAAAATTGTCGCATGGATCTAAATAGCCAAACAAACGAAAAAAGAACCCCAAAACGAACAAAATAATCAGATTATGTTTGAGGAAAAACCTATCTATAGATCAAAAGTGTCAGAAAATATTGCCCTATGGCAAATCTGAATGAATCCATTTTATTTACTTAAACATCCACCATATCCATGATGAGGATTTTGATGCTTTTCAAAAAGCATTTTCCTTTGCTAAAAAAAACGAAAAATTCCTGTACGCTTTTTTGCCAAAATAAACATTACATTCTCTTATATGGAGAAAAGCGGAATTTATTTTTCGAACGATGGAAAACAAAAAATTCATTCGTTTTAATCGTTTTAAACATTATCATCATTATCGTCGTTAGATTTGATGATGATCATCATGTTGATGGTCGTTAAAATTAAACATCCACCAAACATACAGCACAATCGATCACCAAGATCACTTTTTTTATAAAGGTGGTTTTTCTGTTCTGTTCATCGAAAAACATTATCTTTATTACCTGGCCATTTTATTAGTCGTTTTTTTTTGTTGCTCGAAAATGATGATGTGGAAATGATGATGATAATGAATGAAATGAAATGATGTTTTCGATGATTGAATGGAATGGCGTTTATTTTATCGCCTAATTTTTTTTTGTTGAAAATGACATGAATTTTCCATGTTGACGCCTTGTATGTTCATTTTTTTTCGTAAGGATTTTTATTTTCCTTGTCAATCCTTTTTGGCTGTTTAAAAATATAATCAAAATTAAAAGGCAATTTAAATTTGAAAAAATTGAGGATTTCCTAAGGAAAAAACAAAACAAAAACCATTAAAAAACTGTCACCCAAAAAAGCCAAAATCAATCATATATCCAAACAAACAAACCAAAATGACTTTTGAACATTTTCTTATTATTTACTCGTTTTTGCTCAACAAAAAAAACTAATTCGTTTTCTTCATTTATTTTCATTTTCTTAATAAATATAGCGGCCACCATCACAATCACTTAATTCATATGGACATGGTTTACATGATGATGTTCGGTCACCAAATGGTTCAACTGGAACACCTGGACCATTATCACAACAACCTAGTTCACAACAATCAACCGATAATAATAGCGAAGCTGGTAAGTTTGTTCACTTTTTTTTCCCATTTCGTTTTTCCAATTCAAAAATCCAATTCAAAAATCTTCAAATAAAGATTGCTTGCTTCAAGGCATCAATGTTCAATGTTCAATTGATCATTGTAATTGTAGGTGTGTGTGTTTTTTGTGTTTTCAAGTTTAAACGATTATCATTTACCATCATAACCATCATCAAAAGTCATCGAAATTGACAACAACAGCAACAAGATGATGATTGAACCCCCTCATCCTCTCCAAATAAAGAGTAGCTGTTTTTTGAACAACAACAAAATGATGATGAGATATATAATCATCTTGATCATCATCGAAATGGTCAAGCGTGTGGCCATCATTATTATCATTGTTGTTCACTTTACTTTCTCTTATTCACTCACTTAAAATCTGATCAAATTTAAAAACCAATTTTATTGAAATTGTAGGCGGTTCACACAAAAGTATATAATCCCCGTATAAATGGTCATCATCATAATCATTGAGTGTTAAACACGTTTTTAACAATAATTTCTCTCTCTCTCTTCCCTCTCTCTTCTAATTCATTGTTATAATGATAGGGTTAAAAACGATAAAATGATAATTGTTGGTTGTCAGATTTTTTTTTCATTGATTTTCCTTTTAAAACTTTGGGATTTACCTCTCTCTATGAATGAAGAATTTTTCACACAGTTTATCGATTGTAACGGTTATTCATTTCATTTTTGATTTTGTCTAATTTCATTAAGAAAAGGGGTGGAAAAAATGCCTGAGACATATCTCTTAATGATTGCCCTTGTTGATCAGTGAGTGTTGACAGAAAAAGTGCGCTCGTTCGTTAATTTATTTCCATCGTTTTATCATCATCACAATCATTATTGATGACTTGACAATTTTCTTTTTCTTTTCAAAGGAATTTTTGTCTAATAAAAATGTTTTGAACATCAGCTTCTTGTTGTTGTTGTTTATCTTTATCTTTATGGTCGAAAACTTTTTCTCGACGTTTGTTTTTTTTTCATTCGTTTTACATAACTCACGAATTGGTGATGATGGTTCTTCATCATTTGATTCGATGATGATAATGGTGATTAGTTTGGTTTTGATGATAATAATAAAATGACCATGAATGTTGTGTAAATTTGACAACAACCAAACAACCAAACAAACAAACAGACAAACATTCAAACAAAATGATCAACCATAATCTTATCCAAATCTAATCTTTACTGGGCAAAAAAAAAGGCCACATACACATTTCAATGATGTTTTCGTTTTCTTTGACAACAACATCATCGTTGCATTTGATGGCCAATTCTGCCTTTCTGTTTCTCCCCTGATAAAACGAAATTCAATGAATGTTTTCTCTCGTTAAGTTTTATCTATTTTATCGCATCGTTTTTCTATCTCTACAAAACGTAATTTGCAAGTTGATATCGTCGAATATCTCTTTTCACAGCCAAATGAACGAAAAAACTACAAATTTTAATGACTACTAATCACTGAAATAAAAATGTTTTATTCGTTTATTTGTTTCTGTTTGCGAAGCTGTGCTGCAGAAAAAATTTTTTTATTCAAATGAAAAATAATCCTTTAATCCTGAAGAAAACAAAAAGACTATAGTGTTCCCCCTCCAAATAACCAAATAAGCAAGTACAATATGCCCATTTTGTTGTTTCGCCAATATCGAAACACACACAATATGTGTCACCGACACCAAACACGTATTTGCACGTGCATATTTTGCTTGCTGGTTTTGTTTTGCACTGATCATCATAATTTTAAATCGAGGATAACCATGTTGTTGTTGTTTTTTTTGTTTCATTCACAGATCAGATCAGATTTGCTTCAAGGCGTTACTTCATTTTTATTCGGTTATTGTTGCTGTTGCTGCTGGTAGAAATACGAGAATCACATTGTTTGAAATTCATTCATTCATTCATTGACTATGTTGATGATGATGATCATTATCAGATGAACTCTATACTGAGAGCCAAAGAGAATAGAGAAAAAAAAACACACTATCATTATTATTACTGTTTAAAACTCGATTATAATCACATTTTCCTCACTCACTCTGTATTTCATCCGATTTTTATTTCATTGTATTTTGATTCGATTTACGGCCAATTCTCTTGGCCAGATGTGTTTAGTTGAAACCAAAATTCTTTCTATCAAATAGATTCTGCAAGATTGGAAGACAAAGAAGTTTGACTGTAACGAATTTTCTTTTTTTTCAAAAAAAAGAATAGCTGTTTCTCCATTGAAAATATCCAAAAAAAATCCAAAGCTTTTATCATCATGTCTCACGGGCATTATCACTTATTAGTAGCGTTTCTTATTTTTCTGTTCAGTTCAAAGTGTTTGGCCCCAGCAAACATACGTTTTGTTGAACAATATCGTATCTGTACTCAAACACAATGCGATTTAATAGTTTTGAAGAGGTTGCGCTGAATCTATTGAAAACAAAAAAATAAAGCTTCAGATGTCATTTTCAATTGTCAATTGGCATGTTTAAGTTTTTTTTTAGTTTTGTTGTTTAGTTATTGATGTTTGCCATATACAGAACAAAACAAAAAACCTATTGGATTTCAAATAATAATGATGAAAACAAAACAAAACAAAAAAGTGTCGATAAGTAGATTTACGTTTTTTTTTCTTCTGTTTGGAGGTTACCACACTTATTAGATATTTTCGATTTTCGATTTTCATATCAAAAAATTATCTGGAATGAAAAAAACGGAAAATACAAAATTTTCGACTTGTTCATTCTGGCGAAAATGATTCTATTACATTACATTTCATTCATTTGGATTCAAACAAACAAACACTGTAGAAAACACTAAATAAACCCTTTGTGTTCATTTAGTGATGCTAATGTTGATGACGATGATGACCTGATTGAAAATTTTTTATTTTTGTAAAAAACAAATTGACTGAATCTGGTAAAAAAAGAAGAAAAATCTAGATTTTGAAATTTTTTTTAATGACAAAAATCGCTGTTGTTTGTTCGTTTTGTCGTTTTTTTCTGGTTGACGATCATAAAATCTTTCTTTTTTTGCTTGATTTTCATATCATTGAGCCACCATACAGAGAATTTCATTTGTTTTTGTTGCTGGCTGAATATCCCAGATGATGATGACAAAATGAAATAAAAAAAAAGCATGACAGATGAATGAATTGGTCAGGTTATGTTAGGATTCACAAGACAAGATTTGCATAAAATAATAAAAAAAAAACATTGGACATTTTATAACAATGATGATGATGATGATGGTCATTGACCAAACAAATTATACTCATGATTATGATGATGATAATGGTAATTCGTTGAAGAAGAAAAAATTTTTTTTTGTCGAAATGGATC